GAGGTGCACATATCCTGGCAACTATCCGATAAATATGGAAATACAAGTAAAAATACTTCTTCACCACCTCAGCCATATATCGTGAATATTAAATAGTGGTATAGCCGTCACATAGTAAATATTCTTCTGAAGCACGATCTGAGTATATGCAAGAGAAAATAGGACTGACGATTTTCATAGAGCCTCTCCGCTGAAGCACGGGTTCCAGCGGGAAGCTGTCAGTACTATACGACTACGGGCGGATGACTTAAAGTCAACTCAGTGTAAGATTTCAACACCTTCCCATTTTGATTCCACAGTCTTCTTCCAATCGGTCAAGCATCTCACGAGTTCTACATAGGAATAGCAAGGTTCGTGTACGGGTCTCGAAGCGAACACGCTTCACAAACACAGACTTCGATAGATAAAGTGGGATGGATTCTCAGGCAGTACGCCCCGCAATAGGGCCCGCCTCATATGATGAAACAGCAAGTCAGAGGCACATTCTCTTCTCCAGGGTTACTGACCATCATCGCCAATGCTCTCTCCTTCTACTCAAAGACTAGAGTTGAATGTGATACCCAAGAAGAGGTGACTACATACAGATGAGTTGATAGCAAGACATGAGCAACGACACGAGGCTATGTGGCTATCACTAATGATTGCGCTCCAATCCAATACCTCCCTTTCCCCTCATCAGCTCATCGTGTGATTCAGCTCAAACGGATCAGATTCACATCCCCCAAACTTAACAATCAAATGTCTCGTCCGTTGAGTCTCACTGTTGGCTACTCATTATCAATACCACACTTCCTATAACACTGAACACAATAGCACCATAGAGCCTTTACCATATAGAGAACAGTATATTGTTACTACTAGTATTATAACTATCTCTGAAACTTCCAATCAACAACAGTAGCAATACGTGCTGTTGTTGAGGTGTCCATCGAGTCAACTACCTGCAGCAGCTCAAGCAGTGGTAGGAGCTCCACCAGCAGCCCCTGCATCTTCTGGTTGCGGTACCATATGCATCATAAAGCCAAATCGATAATCTCCCTTCACAAAATCTACCATACCGCTGATGCCAAAGCCCATGAAGTCCTGGACGAAGCACGAGACCTTTCCACAGGTGTCCAACAAGCCCTGAACCCTAGCGTGACGGAAAGTATACTCATAGCCCAGACGCAGCTGACTCTCGTGCTCCGGTTGACTATACTCGAACTCACTACCAATCGCCAGCCTGTCAGATACCTTACGAACATACTGCATCTTAGCAGAATGTACATTAGCCTGCGGGCCCTGTTTGAAATCAGGTTGTCGGCCCAAGGCAAAGCTCAAGTAGTTAGGGCCCCACACATAACGAGCACCCAAGCCTCCAATAGACACACCATTCACCGCGACATGAGTCAGCTCTCCACCCAACGAGAGGTTATTGGTGACCTCTTGGGCAAAGCTGACGTTGGATATCCAGGTCCCCTGATAGGCCAGCTTAGCACTAGCTGCCCAATCATCCCCTTGCTGATCCACAGTGAACTCATACATGTTCCTCTGAGGTCATGAAGATCGAGTTGGCGTTGATCTTCAA